CTTTCTAGAAGGAGTTATACGACTCCGACCTGATGGCACCGCCAGCCGTCGGCCCCAGACACACTCCCACGAGGATGTGGACAGGCTACGGCGCATGATACGATGGCAGCGCGAGTTCACGCAACGGCAGGCCGCCCTGGCCGCCTGCCCCCCCGGGCCCCGGGCGATGTCAGGGAGAAACCCCGGATTGCATGAGCCACCAGGCGAAGGGGCGCAGCCCAACAGGACAGCGCCCAGTCACCCAGAGACCGAACCCCCCAGCGAAAGAGCGCGACTGGAGCAGCGACCCCTGGTCACACACGAAAGGCGGTGCAACGTGGTAGTCAGCGTTAACACAGTTAGCCGAGGACGCGCGAGAGGACCAGTCTACGCGCCCACGTCCATAGTCGCAGCAGCGATTCGAGTATTACGAGCAACTGTCGTGGCATGTCCGCGTGCGCTGGTCGGAATCAGGCCCATCGACAACACAGCAGCGACATTCACCTTCCCCAATGAGGCCGGACATGACAAAGTGAAAGGGATCCTGGACCCCTCAAGAAGAGCTAGCGAGGACCCAGAGACACAGAGCCTGCCCCCGCCTCCCGTTGTCAAGGCAGTCGACACCAACGCCGCTCAAGTGGGCGCCCTGGCTAGCCTTATCCAGCTCGAGGCTGTCCCCTGTCACTTGGTTGTCCTCGGACACGAGGAGGTTGCGACACCAGGAGTCCCAGACCCGATCGGGATGACGGCCGCCGCGCACACGCTCTGGGGGGCACCGAGCACTCGGCAGAGCCAACCATCTGGTACCAGTCGGACGACCGCTAGCAGAGCACCGCGGCCCCATGCAGATTCTTGCCATACAGGTCAACTCCCTGGCCAGGCCCACGCGCTTACAGCACGCTCCCAGTCTAGTGGTGCACTGGTGAAACGGCAATGCCGACCAAAGGGGCGCCCTTGATATGCTTACCCCTGACTCCGGCGACGAGCACGTCGTTGCCCGCATAACGCGAGTTCAGTGGGACTTAAGAGGCGTGTGTGCACCAGCTTGAATGGGCCACCAACATCACGCAACTCGGGCGCAACCCAGAGTTCCTTCAACAAGGGATAGAGCCACTGGTCCATCACGCCATCAAGATCCGCATGATGGGCTCCAGGCCTGCCGACGCTCACCGCTTTATCGCGGGCATACAGGCGGCGGCCCAACAGCTGGCACCCACCGACATCCCCACTGCAGTATGGAGACAGCACGAGACCGCAGACGTCGTCCATATTCTTCTACGGCGGGGCAGCCTCTGTCTCGCCTACCCCATCGCCGCGCAGGCCGCAGCAGCCCTGGGACACAGGGTGGGCATCACGGCATCTGGCGTCATGCTAATCAACGCACTTGAACACGTGGCGGCGCCCATCATTAGATACATCCGCTCACAAGTACCCACAGCATTGGCCAGTAACGGTCAACCAAGCGCGGTCTCCCCCCGACGCATCACCATGGCTGATCCCTGGACAGGAGGCCCATCCCTGGTGCGCACTGTGGACCCCGAAACAGGGTCGCACCTACGCTGGAACGTCGCTACAGAAGGCCAAGTCGACCTGGATACGGTCCGATACGCGGTTCAAGAAACCCTTGGGGGCAGTGCCGTATGGACCGTTGCACACGTACACGCCTGGCATCCCGACATCGATGCCTATCGAGACATGGCCCAGGTGGTACTCCGTGAGGGTGCTGAGCAGACCATGGAGGCAGCCTGCGGGGCCACCGGCTTCCTAACCCTAAACGGACAACACATCCGTATCTTCCCGGCTACCCACGCCAGGGAGCCAGCGAGGCGCACCCCCGGCACTGACAGTGCACTAGACGACCACGTGAGAGAAGCAGCCCGACCAGGCGCGGTTGCTGCCAGGCGGGCGGCGGAGCACCCGCAGGTCCTCACCACTGCCAGAATGGACCTCCACGGTGTGCAGGTTGGAGGGACCGAAATGCGGCAGCTGTACCTGGAGCCTTGGCTGCCCGCCGACCGGCACCTGCCACTAATGGGCACGACAGTAGGGCATGGTGCGTGCCGCCTCCTGATCAGACCCTGGCCCGCCCCCGCCACCGACCCAGACGCAGCCCTCGTAGACATGCTCCCAAGGATCGGGCCTCCCGCCCTTACCGCAGACTGGGTCGACGATCGCATCGGCCCGATGCGCGCGATCGTTCCCGCAGCACCCCCCCCACGGCTGCTCGAACAAAGGCAACTGGGCGGAACGCGTGACGTCGATGCCCGCATTGAGCCAGGCGAATACATCATCATGGCAATATCCTGATCTGGATTTTAAGCTCGAGCTGCCTGAGCACATAGTAGTTGCCCCAGAGCTAATTTACAGGGGGGCATGCCAGGAGGACGCGCCGCGGAGCGTGTCAAGGGACGCGCCAGGCGACGTGCCAGGGGACGTGCCATGGGGACGCACCGCGGGACGTGCCAAGGGGACGCGCTACGGAACGTGCCAATGAACTTGCCACGGGAGGTGTCAGGGGACGCGCCGCGCGACGTGCCAGGGGGACTCGCCACGGGACGCGTCACGGAACACGGAAACCAGGCGTCTCGCTCGACACATCCTCAACACATCCTCATACTCGACATCCGCCTGGGCGACCTGGACACGCGAAAACAAGCGTCTCGATCCAGACTTCCTCAACACATTCTCATGCTGGACATCTGCCTGGACGACCTGGATGCGTGAAAACAAGCGTCTCGCTCGAGACAGCCTCCAAACATCCTCATTCTGGACATCTGCCTGGGCAACCTGGACGCGTGAAACCAAGCGTCTCGCTCGAGACATCCTCAAGATCCGGGCACTTGAAAACAAGCATTTCGCCAATCGTGTTCACGCTTGTCACGCACAGGGGCGTTAGGAACCCATGTGTTTTCACGTTTCTTCCGCCCTGGTGCGTTGAGAACCATGTGTTTTCACGCTTCTTCCGCTCTGAGGCGTTAGGAACCCATGTGTCTTCGCGCTTCCCTCGCCCTGGGGCGTTCGGAACCATGTGTTTTCGCGCATCTCCAGCCCTGGGGCGTTAGGAGCCCATGTGTTTTCGCGCTTCCCCCGCTCTGGGGTGTTCGGAACCTATGTGTTTTCACGTTTCTTCCGCCCTGGGTCGTTAGGAGCCTATGTGTTTTCACGCTTCTCGAGCCTTCTGGGGCCTCCTGGGGCCTCCTGGGTGGCGGGGGGAAGCGAAAAGTGCTTCCCGAACATATTTCCGAAAACAGACACATGCATCCTGGGGCTTCCCGGGGCCTCCTGGAGCCTCCTGGGGGCGGGGGAGGGCGAAAAGCGCCCCCCGAACACAGATGCCAATACAGAACGGTGCATCCTGGGACCCCCTGAAGCCTCCTGGGGCCTCCTGGGGCCTCCTCGGGCCTCCTGGGGCGTTAGGGACGCATGTGTTGTCACGCTTCTCCCGCTCTGTGGCGCTAGGAACTCACATGTTTTCACGCTTGTCCCGCCCTGGTGCGTTAGGAACCCCATGCGTTTTCACGCTTCTCCCGCCCTGGGGTGTTAGGAACCGATGTGTTTTCATGTTTGTCCCGCCCTGGGGCGTTAGGAACCTATTGTGTTTTCACGCTTATTCCGCTCTGGGGCGTCATGCATTTTCACGCTTGTCCCGCCCTGGGGCGTTAGGAACCATGTGTTTTCTTGCTTCTCGAACCTCCTGGGGCGTCCTGAGGGGCGGGGGGAAGCGAAAAGCGCTCCCCGAATACATAGCCAATTACAGAACATACGTAAAACAAGCATTTCACCTGAGACATTCTCTGAACTCTCGCCCCCAGGAGATGAGCAATCCGTACGTGCAAAACAGGCGTCTCGCTCGAGACATCCTCAACCATTTCTTAAAACACAAGCGTTTCGCCCGGGACATCCTCAAACACAAGTCCGCCGGCCCTCGACCCACCTCGTTAAAATCGCATCTACTTCCACCGGCCCACCTCAAGCCGGGGCCAGGGAGAAACAGCACTAAGGGAGAGCTTTGGGCCTCTGCCCCTGTGCCCGAACCTCCTGTGGAATCCTGCCTGAGGAGGAGGAGGGGGAGGAGGAGGAGGAGGAGGAGGAGGAGGAGGAGGACAAGGACGAGGAGGAGAGGGAGGAGGACCAGTGTAAACCCAAGGCGCATCGACGATGTTGCAATCAACTCTCCCTCCACATTCCTTCTTCATAGGTTCTTACAAGAATTTGTTTTCCTTGCGGGAAGTGCCCCTGCTCGATTGGAACACAACCGTCTGAGAATCCTCACTGGGGCTTCGACGCCACGCTTCAACGTGACTGTTGCCGCCTGACATCTTCAGTCGCGCCAGAATGCTATTCCCAGGACTTCAACCTTACCTACCTTTGAAATCGCTGCAAACTGTTAAGTCGAATGCGCGCGGCGCTAGGACGAGAGTCATATTTTGAACATGAGCCGTCCTCCATTTTTGAAGCTGCTGCAACATTTCCATACAGTACGAATTTGCGCGGCGTTCAGGCGAGAGCCCTATTTTCAAGAACCACCCGCCCTCATTCTTTGAACCTGATGCAAACCTTTAAGACAACTTTGCGTGGCGCTCAGGCGAGAGCCACATTTTGGAAACCACGCCCTCGTTCTTCGAACCTGGTACAAACCTTTAAGACATATTTGCGCGGCGCTTAGGCAATGACCTAATCTTGACATCGACCCGTCCTCCATCGTTGAATGCGTTGCAAACTTCGAGGGCCCATGTGCGTGGCGCGCAGGCGAGAGCCACATTCTGAAGACCACCCGCCCTTCATTTTTGGAAGTGTTGCAAAGTTCGAGCTTCAGGATCATGAGTGATGTGGAAGTCTCAGGCGAAACGACCGGCCAGCCCTACTGACACCTCTGGTTGTGAGACAGGGAGGATTATCTTAAGCAAGACTGATGGAGGAGAAGGAGAAAGATGATGAGGATAATTTTTGTCTGTCCTGTAGGGCTCTGGGATCTGCCCTTCGTTAGCATGGGGTGCGGGTCAGAAGCATTGCACTCGGTCAGTCGCCCTGTTTCGCCCAAGCTCATCTCGCGAGGGCGTCAGCTCACCACCTGCAGCCGAGCAAGGCCGGGCGCACGATGGGCGGCCTCTTGGACCCGAAGACGCGTCTGCTGTGCAAGCAGAAGATCGCGGAGCTGGAGCAGAAGCTCGAGGAGATCGAGGCGCTGAAGGCCGTGGAGCCGAAGCTGCGGCGGGAGCTGCACGCGCAGAGGGAGAAGCTGGCGCAGTGCGCCTCGGACGACGAGGACGAGGGCGCGGAGGAGCTGCCCGAGCAGTCCGAGGAGCCGGCGGGCCCGGATCCCCAGAAGCGCCCGAAGGCGCTCAACAAGAAGCTCAAGCAGATCGCCGAGCTGAAGGCGAAGGGCGGAGACCTGGACCCGGCGGCTGCCGCCAAGGTTGCCTCGGAGGCAAAGATCCTGAGGGAGATCGATGCCATCAAGGCGGGCAAGCCCTTACGACGAGGCCGACGAGGCCGAGGTGGAAGCCGAGGAGGCTGCGAGGGCGCCCGAGAGAGTCGATCTTCCGGCGGATGCAGCTGAGCGCGAGAAGCGGCTCAAGGCGCTCAACAAGAAGCTGCAGCAAATCGCGGATCTCAGGAAGAAGGAGGCGGAGCTCGACGACGAGGCAAAGGCGAAAGTGGCATCCAAGTGGCGCGTGAAGCAGGAGATCGCCGCTCTCGAGAGTGGCGCCGCGGAGGCGGTCTTCACGGGCCCGACCGAGGAGGACCAGATCGAGGATGCGACGATCCAGAAGGTTGAGCTGGAGAAGAAGCTCAAGGCAGTGCGCAAGAAGCTGACGCAGATAGATGCTCTGAAGAGCAAGGGCGGCGAGCTCGATACCGACGCCCGGGCGAAGGTGGACTCCGAGGGTGCCCTCAAGAAAGATCTTGGCGCACTGGAGCGCCAGCTGGGCGCCCTGAACCGGGCGGAGCGCGAGCGCGTGGCAAAGCGGCTCGGCTGGGAGGGGACGTGCCCCGACGCCAAGCAGAAGCCAGGCAGCTCCAAGAAATAGTCTTCCGGACCATCACGCGGGGGCGGGGTGAAGGTGGCGGTGTTCTGAGACTACATGCCGCCTCGTAGAGGTCCGGCTGCCTTCTTCAGAGTCTTCCTGGAAGCCTCAAAGAGAGGGTATCTTCCTATGAGGAGTCCCCTGCCCACTTAAAAGGCCGCACCCATCGCTCCACCCCGTTCGCCAAAGATGGAGTGCAATAGCAGATCGCGTGCAGCGGTTGGCGCTCGCCGCCAACATCAGTTACGTGCGTCTGGCTGCCATCTAACTGCCAGTCATAAGTATTGGCCCATGATTGTATCCCTTTGCGTAGGTTCGTCCGTTGCAATACAACGCATGGCGGCCTAAGTAGTTTAATGCATATGAACCTCGATCGGTTTGAACATTTGCATCGACACGGTATCGCAGTGCAGCTGCTTGTCTGAGATGCCCCTTCGGAGAAATAGCCATAGCTGACTTCAAATGTCCCACATCCTTCCTGAGTGGCGAAAGGTGCCACTTGAATGGGTTGGTTTTGCAGGTATTGTTATGGACGTGTGACTTGGATGAGCTTGCTTGGTGGCCAGGCAGTGTCTGGATTTAGTTGACCTGGATGCCAGTCCTTCCAGGCTGGATTTGGTTCCTGCTAGCCACAAGATGGCTTAGACCTGCTACCTCCCAGTCATATGCACTTAGTTTGGCCTTGCCCCATTCAGTGGTATCAGCAGTATTGAATAGCATGAGAGTCGGTAGTAGCAGCATGTTGGCGATTCTGCCACCCAAACGGACGGAAAGCGTGCTCGATCCTTTGATGACGTGTATGGGTACGTACACGTGTGTGTATGTGTATATATACACACACATATATATATATATATGTATATATATGTATATATATGTATATATGCGTGCCAGCGTGAATCCCAAGCGAGTACGAAATACACGCATAGCGTCAGTATTTGTGTGAAGCAGAAGTGTACCGCACTCCACCCGCACATTGGGACCCCTGTTGCGCAGGCATTTCAGCGGCACCCACACTCGAAATAGTGTAATTCTTGCATCAGCAGAATTGGCACCCGCCGCTCAAGCAGCAGCTGTACACCAAAGCAACGAGACTGAACAAAGCAACTCATCACATACAGACACACAGATAGAGGTCATGATCGACCCACGAGCCTGGAAAGGAATATCGGACTGAGAAGCATGGAAACGCTTCACGACACCTAATTGCTCAAGGTAACGATGCTGTACAGTGTCACAGGCTGTGCTGTGCTGTGCCATGCTGTGCCGAGTTGAGATGTGTTGTGCCGCTTTGAACTGCGATGTGCGCTATTTCATTGTGGATCAAGTCGTCCTTGGCGTCCGACTCCTGGCCGAACTGATCTGGATCTTGAACTAGAGCTGCCTGAACGCGTAGCTCGCCCAGAACTGGTTGCAACCGAAACGTGCGAGGCGCTGAACCAGCTCGAAGCATGTGAAGTCCGCGCGGGTTCGCTCACATTGTCGAACCACTACCTGCCCTGTGGTGCCGAGCCAGGCTGCGATGTGATCCACGAGAGGGGCGCGCCGCGGGACGCGCCAGGGGCCGCGCCACGGTACGTGCCAGGGGGCGCCCCGCGGGACGCGCCATGGGGCGTGCCACGCGACGTGCCAAGAAAAAAAACAACGGACGTGCCGCGGGACGCGCCAGAGGGACACGCCATGGGAACACCATGGGACGTGGCAAGGGACGCGCTAGCGGACGCGTCGGGTGAGGCCGCGCGGGTGGCGTTCGCGGGGCCCGCGAGTTGCGCGCCGTGCCCCGCCTGCCAGCCTGCGCCCTGCCCTGCTTCCCCGGCCGCCCTGGCTGCCCGCCTCCCCCGCCCTGCCCGGCGTGGGAGTGCCTGGAGGCGCAGCCCCCGTGGGCCCTGGCGGCGGCGTCCGAGCCCGCCGTGAGCGGAGCCTGGTGGCCCTGGCTGCTGGCGATCGCGCTGGCCGTCCTCGCGGGCCGCTGGACTGCACCGACTCCGTCAGGTGCGCGGGCCCACGCCGCTCGTGAGCATGTCGACCTACGAGGAGCGTCGGCCAGGCGCCCGGCCTGCTGGTGGGGTTCGACGGCGATGAATGGACGCACGAGCGCATTCTCTTGTGGCCAGTTCATCGGGATCGCTGCCACGAGTGCTGGGTGGTAGAGACACCCGATGGCGATCGCTACGTGGAGCGGAAGGCCGACTGGAGGTGGCACGTGTCGTTGCTGCAGGGTTGGCCACAGGGTTTCAGCGGCAACGTGGTGCGATTCCGCTCGGAGATCGGCCGCGAGGAGCTGCGGCAGATGGTGCTGGAGGGCCGCGAGCTGGCGCGGGAGGAACGCCGCCGCCGGCGGCTGCCGCGCGAGCTGGGGCCCATCTCGGAGAGGATCCGACGACGATGGTGGACTGGCACGGCGACGAGCGCGGCCTGGACACTGGCGCCCTGGCGGCGGCGCGGCGGCGGCTGCGAGGCAAACGCTCCTTGGCGGACCACCCGCGCGAGGCCGAGTCACCAGGGGGCGAGCTGGCCACGCGACCAGCGCCGGGGCCGCCCGAGGGCTTCGACGACGGCACCGTGCTGCTGGTGGCGGAGCTGCATGCTGGCGGGGGCCTGAAGCTCGGCGACGAGGTCGCGCCGCGGGAGGCCGACGTGTCGGTGGGGCCGAAGGTGATCGGCAGCAGGCCAGACGGTCGCCCCGTGCTGTGCGAGCGGGTGGCGGTCGGCGACGTCGAGGCGTGGCGGCGGCAGGCGCTGGACAACGCGGGCCGCTTGGCGGCGCCGCTGCCTCCGCCGGCGGACGCCCCGCCTGACGGCCGAGGCGCGTCGGCCCGCGCCCGCCGTGGACGGCACCGAGACACCTCGCTGCGCCGCGGCCGAGGCGAGCAGGGACCCGCTTCAAGGAGTGGCGTCGCTCGGTGGCAGAGAGCACCGAGACGCCGCTGGACGGCTGCGAGTTGCGGGGCGCGGGGACCGCTTTGCACTTGTGCCAGCGGTTCACGCAACATGGAGGCGATCCGAAGACTTGGATGTCCAACTGCTGCGTCGGGCAGCGAGATCGCACCTGGCATGGGTTGAATTCTAGACGCTTCGCGTATCCCCACCAGCCCGTCCAGAAATGAGTCCCAGGGGAGTGGAGGTTATGAGGGAAGCGGGGGAGCATGCAGAAGAACAAAGGGCGGGGTGAGCCGCCATATACCCCAAGAGGGGGAGGATGTAGGAGGAGCCGTCGTCGTCGGAGTAGGAGGAGGAGGAAGGAGGAGGAGCAGGAGGAGGAGCAGGAGGAGGAGGAGGAGGAATAAGGAGGAGGAGATGGAGGACTGCGAGGACGAGGAGGACGAGAAGGAGGAAAAGGAAAGGAGGAGGAGGAGGAGGAGGAGGAGGAGGGGGAGGGGGAGGAGGGAGGAGGAAGAAAAAGAGGAGGAGGAGGAGGACAATGGCGAGCTTGGGGGCCTCTTGGGCCGTCTTTGGGGCCTCTTGGCGGTCCCGGGGGCCTCTTGCGTATCTCGGGGAGCCTCTTGTGGCCTCTTGGGGGTCTCTTGGGGGCCTCTTGGAGGCCTCTTGGGGGCCTCTTGGGGCCTCTTGGGGCCCTCTTGGGGCGCTCTTGGGGCGCTCTTGGGAGCCTTCGAGGCGCTCTTGGGGCCATCTTAGAGGAGATCTATCAAAGAAGGGGGGGTCCCCAATTAGCGCTGCCCCTCTAAAGTGCCTCGAATCGCTTCCTGGGCCCCCCAAGAGGCCAAAATCTCTCCAAAACCTAAGGAAAATCAATGTTTTGTGTTTTCTCGCCTTTTCGCTCTTGGAGCCGTCTTGGGCCGTCTTGGGAGCCTCTTGGGCCTCTTGGGGGTCTCTTGGGAGCCTTGTGGAGGCCTCTTGGGCGCCTCTTGGGGCCTCTTGGAGCGCTCTTGGGGCGCTCTTGGGGCGCTCTTGGGAGCCTTCGGGGCGCTCTTGGGGCCATCTTGGAGGAGATCGATCAAAGAAGAGGGGGTCCCCAATTAGCGTTGCCCCTCTAGAGTGCCTCGAGTCGCCTCTTGGGCCCCCCAAGAGGCCAAAATCGTTCCAAAACCTATGTAAAATCAATGTTTTTTGCTTTCTCGCCTTTTCGCTCTTGGAGCCGTCTTGGGCCATCTTGGGAGGCTCTTGGGGCCTCTTGGGGGTCTCTTGGCAGCCTCTTGGAGGCTTCTTGGGGGCCTCTTGGGGCCTCGTGGGGCCGTCTTGGGGCGCTCTTGGGGCGCTCTTGGGAGCCTTCGGGGCGCTCTTGGGGCCATCTTGGAGGAGATCTATCAAAAAGGGGGGGGGTCGTATATTAGCGTTGCCCCTCTAGAGTGCCTCGAGTCGCCTCTTGGGCCCCCCCGAGAGGCCCAAATCCTTCCAAAACCTAGGTAAAATCAATGTTTTGTGTGTTTCTCGCCTTTTCGCTCTTGGAGATGTCTTGGGCCATCTTGGCCGTCCCAACGACCCGCGGAACGCCCCGTCCAGGTCAGTGGGGAGGGGTAAGGGGAGGGGTAAACCCCTCCCCGAAGGGGAAGAAGGGGGTTGGCAGAGGAAACTCCCTAAACCACCTACGCCCTAAAGGGCTGGTGGGATTGTCTGGTCACCATCTTCTGGCTGGCGGCGACGCTCGACGCTGTCAACCTCGGCGGGCTGGGAGGTCGCAGCGCGGCGGGTCGCTCAGATCACCGAGGCCCATCGAGTCGCTCCAGGTCAGCCCGCCGCGTGGGAGGCTGGCCGATTCCTGACAGGTACCGGCGACCCCTTCGACGTGTTCTCGCCCGAGCTGCGCAACTTCGCCAACCGCGCGGCGCGTGACGAGGCGGATCGGCTGGCGGCGCTGGGGCGCGGCCGCACGCTGGCACCTGGAGGACGCGGGGCAGGTGGCCCCGACGATGTGGCTGGCGCTCTGGAGGCGGGCGGCTCGGCAGGGGGGGCGGCAGGGGCCGAGGACGCGGTCGCAGCAAGACTGGCGATGCGGCGCCCCCTGCCGCCCCGCAGAAATGACGGGCGCAGGGCCGGGGGCGAGGCCGCCCCCGGGCCTGGAAGCAGAGGCCACGCGCGGAGGGCAGATCTTCCCGCCGCCCCTGCTGCGCGAGCTGAACGCCGACGTTGCAGCCCCTCTCAGCCGACGAGATCGGGGCCGAGTGCGACGCCTGGCGAATGGAGGTCTGGCGAGCTTGAATGGGATGCACGGCGCTGATCGGCGGGCCCCTTCGGTACCACTGAGCTGGGCTACGCGTTGCCGCGTGGCCGAGATCCAGCACGACATGCAGCGGCGGGCGCAGCTCTTGGCGGCAAGCTGGGGCGGCCCAGCCTGCGCGGAGGATTCGCAGCAATGTCTGGCACGATTGCTGCGGGGCCGAGGCGGCTACGCCCAGCTGGCCCACGCGACGCTGACCCCCTTCCCCCGCGCTCGGCCGTCAGTCCCCGAGGACCTCGCTGGAGCCCCACGGGTCACGGACTTGCTGCCGGTGGCGGCGCGGATTCAGTTGAAGGACCACGAGAGCCACATGATGCGTTCGCCCTCGGAGGTGGACGACATGAATGCAAGATGCGGCCACGTTCGACCTTACATGGGCCCAGTTTTGAAGCACAAGCGCCCCGCCTACATCGGCCTGGTCAAGCGGCTGCTGGAGATCGGCCTGGTTCGGATGTCGACTACCTGCCGCTGTCAGGTGGGGATCTTCTGCGATCGCCAGAGGCTGATCCTGGACTGCCGCCCGGCGAATCGCCTGTTCAGGGGCCCGCCCGGGGTCGATCTCGTGAGCGGTGACGGCCTCAGCCGCGTTGAGAGGTCGACGA